CTACAAATTATGCTTCTTTTTTGTTCTGTCATGATGACCACAGCCACACACTTGAGTTTTAAAACATGTGCTGGGTGTGTACTGTGCTTTTAAAGTGAAACACTGAACCATTAGCGGAATACAGCGGAAGAATATAATAGTTCCCATATTCCAGCATATGTTTTACGCAGCAAATGTCCTTCCAGCTGCAACCCATCACTGGGCAACACCCATACACTCTCATTCATGGTTGGATGGGTACACACACTACAGACAATTTTAGCTTACCTAATTCCCCTATAGCGCATGTCTTTGGACTTGTGGGGATAACCGGAGCATGCGAAGGAAAAATCCACACGAATGCGGGGAGAACATGAAAACCCCACACAAAAATGCCAACTAACCCAGCTGAGGCTTAAACCAGTGACCTTTTGCGGTGGGGCGACAGCACTTCCTACTGTGCCACCACGTCACCACCACTATCATTATTAACATTATTAAGATGTTAAAATCAGTGATCACTCATTAAGAAAAAAATACTATTTAAGGATCGATCCTTTTGATACATTGGCAGTATCAACAATATCGATACTTTAGGATCGATCACCTCTCCCCAACAATACAGAAGAGACAACTAAAGATCACAAAAATAATAGACACTGGTGTTGACAAATGTTCAAACGATGTCCACTTTTTATAATGAGTTAGAAAACTTTCTTCAAACTTTTACAATATATACACTTACTGGCCACTTTATTAGGTACACCTGTCCAACTGCTCGTTATTGCAAATTTCTAATCAGCCAATCTCATGGCGGCAACATGGCATGTAGACGTGGACAAGACGATCTGCTGCAGTTCAAACTGAGTATCAGAATGGGGAGGAAAGGGGATATAAGTGACTTTAAATGTTGCAGGGTTGTTGGTACAAGACAAGCTGGTCTGAGTATTTCAGAAACTGCTGATCTACTGGGATTTTCATGCACAACCATCTCTAGGGTTTAGAGAATGGTCTAACAAAATGAAGATATCCAGTAAGTGGCAGTTCTGTGGGTTCAAAGGCCATGTTGATGCCAGAGGTCAGAGGAGAATGGCCAGACTAGTTCCAGCTGATAGAAAGGCAACAGTAAGTCAAATAACCACTCGTTACAACCAAGGTATGCAGAAGAGCATTCCTGAACAAACAACACGTCCAGCCTTGAGGCAGATGGGCTACAGCAGCAGAATATCACACCGGGTGCCACTCCTGTCATCTAAGATCAGTAAACTGAGGCTACAGTTTGCACAGACTCACCAAAATATGACAATAGAAGAGTGGAGAAACGTTGCCTGGTCTGATGAGTCTTGTTTTCTGTTGCAACATTTGGATGGTGGTCAGAATTTGGTGTCAATAACATGAAAGCATGGATCCATCCTGCAGTGTATCAACGATTCAAGCTGCTGCTGGTGGTGTAATGGTGTGGGGATATTTTCTTGGCACACTTTGAGCCCATTTGTACCAATTGAGCATCATGTCAATGCCACAGCCTACCTGAGGATTGTAGTTGACCATGTCCATCCCTTTATGACCAGTGTGCCCATCTTCTGATGGCTACTTCCAGCAGGATAATGCACCATGTCATAAAGCACAAACCATCTCAGATTGGTTTCTTGAAAATGACAATGAGTTCACTGTACTCAAATGTCCTCCACAGTCACCAGATCCTCAATCCAATAGAACACCTTTGGGATGTGGTGAAACGGGAGATACACATCATAGGTGTGCAGCCGACAAATCTGCAGCAACTGTGTGAAATAATCTCTGAGGATTATTTCCAGTACCTTGTTGAAGCTATGCCACAGAGGATTAAGGCAGTTCTGAAGGCAAAAGGGGGTCCAACCTAGTGCTAGTTAGGTGTACCTCATAAAGTGTTGGCGGTGTACTTTATAACACTGTTTAAAATGAGTGATTTAAGTGCACGTGTGTTAAGTGTTTGTGTTTGTGCATGCTGCTATGACTTTTATGTGTTGCCCACTACTGTAATATATCTTCTAGGTGAAAATGACCTTATTTGCAGTTTGATTAAAATTCATAGGAACATAGTAATATTCTGTAAGATATGAAGTCATATAAATTGCTTGCAGTGTCTTACAGTACACAGCAAGTGAAAATGAGAGAAGCTAGATTCACACTTGTGCCGTTGTGCAGCTATCCCACACAAACTGTGAGTTTGCTCTGGATATAGTTACATCTCCCACACAGCCTCGCGCTCCACTGCATCAGATGACCTGGCTGTTAAAAGCAATGAAAGCGAACATGTCATCGCTCCTATTCTTCAGTGAGACTGCACGTTCTCACTGCTAGAGAGAAAATCACCCAAAGAACCCATTGCTTGTTGTATCATCTTCCGATCTTATGAAATACTCCTGCTGTTTTATTTCTTGCGTGCAAGCGTTCAGCCATAGAGAAAAACAAGCAGCCTTGATATCATCCTCAGAACTCATTTACTTTGCTTTCTTATTTCTTTGTATTTTCTGCTCATTTAAATGCCTTTTTCCGCCGTTAGGTTCCTCAGTGTAAACTCTAATCGCACTCTTATTAACATCTACTCACATACAAATATATCATTTACATTCCTATAATGGCAGTTGATTATATTTCTCTGCACAGCTGATATTCCTCTTGGTGGATTTCATAATGATGTGCAGTATATATGCCCGAGTCTTATATGCCCTTGATTCAGTGTCATTAACACACAGCAGTGAATCAGCAGGGTGTGTGTGTGTTTTTTTTTCACTTTTAAATGAGTGAGTGCTGACAATCAGCCTCCTGTCTTGGTCAAACTGTGGCATAAATAAAAAAGAGCTATTTTAGGCCGTCTCATAAGCCCCCTGCCATTTCCTTTCCATCTGTAAATTCAAAAGTCTTGAAATAAGTCCAGGGATTCCATTTGGGCAGGCTGATCTGAATGGTCATACAGTGCAATTGCCCAGTCCAGTTTGATGTAGACTAATAAAGCTGGACTATTATAGTCATTACGCTGTTTTCTAAGTTATATATTTAGTCCAGTGATGTAATATAATGTCAGATAATCAGACAACATAAACTTGTAGTAAATGGCTTATAGTGGAGAGCACAATACTGGAAAAACTGGATATCGCAATATTTTTTTTCTTGCGAATAAATATTGCGACTTGAATGCATTTTCACAAGATGGCCTTTGCTTTGTTTCTTTTTAGTCAAAATATCATGGTCGAAATGTTGTTTTGTTTTCACCTTTAGAATAAATTTTTCCAAAAAACAAGCCAAATTATCTGTCAATGGGGTAAATTAAATTATCTTGTATTTGCTTTGAAATGCAGATATTTGAACAATAACAACAACAACAAAAACAAGACAAAGATTTTACATTTTTTCCTGCATAAATATTTAAATATTTAATCTTTGTTATACTTCCAAACATCATTGTGATTCTACAAACCAGATTTGTTCAGTGGTTCCTGGTCATTGAGAATTCAGGCTCAACATTGCATATTTTATGATGTGACAATTGCAGATCGATTTTGAAAAGATATATTGTGCAGCCCTAGCTCGCAGCAAAGAGTGTGAGTGGTACAGACCCTTTTGTAAGGGTACATAGCACAACAGTGCAGTACTAATAGTGTGGAGCAAGACTCGCTGCTGAATGCTATTGGTTTACTGAGATTTGTCTCCTGAGCGTGCAACAAGCCAAGGAAACAACAACATTGAAAGTGCAATTTTTAAATACACAGCTGAGATATCACATAATAAAATAACAGTGCAGCAATTAAACATACAAGCTAGTTTTCTTGTGAAAAACAGCCACATGCAAATAAGCTAGAATAGGATCTGTGGAAGAATGGAGATTTGTCCTCCATTGTTGTTTACAGGACCATTGACATGTTGCATCTAAAATGTACACACGTAGTCAGTGAATGCACTTGTTAGTTCTGAAAGAGTAAAGTGCACCACACTGCCTTTTTATTGACTTTAGTAAGGAGCAGTGACTTCTGCCTTTTATGTTATTAGACAACCACTCTATCAATGGTTTTTATGCTTGAATTAATGACATTGGGACTTCATGCGATACTCACTGCATTCCTCTGTAATTGTAGTGTATTCTGTGGCTTTGTCTGTGTTTGTTTAAAGTGCCATGTATAGGTGTTTCACTCATATTACACCATGTTAACCCAGTTTTCCGGTTTCAATCTGGATGTAGAGATTTCTTGAAAATGATACGTGTATAAATTCAAAAATGGTAGAATACACAAAATAAAAATTGATTGTTGCCATCTAGATGTAACATTAGTCAGGCAGGTACAGTGGCTGAGTGGTTAGCACTGTTGACTCACAGCAAGAAGATCGCTGGTTCGAGTTCTGGCTGGGCTAGTTGACATTTCTGTCTGGGGTTTGCATGTTCTCACCGTGTTGGCGTGGATTTCCTCTGGGTGCTCCAGTTTCCCCTACAGTCCAAAGACATGCGGTATGGGTAAATTGATTCAACTAAATTGTCTGTAGCGTATAAGTGTGTGCAAATAAGTGTGTATGGGTTTTTCCCAGTACTGGGTTGCGGCTAGAAGGGCATCCATTGCATAAAACATATGTTGGCATAGTTGGGGATTCATTCTGCTGTGTCAACTTCTGAAATAGACACTAAGCCAGGGGTCACCAAACTTGTTCCTGGAGGGCCGGTGCCCTGCAGATTTTACCTCCAACCCTAATCAAACACACCTGAACAAGCTAATCAAGCTCTTACTTGACATACTTAAAACATCCAGGCTGGTGTGTTGAGGCAAGTTGGAACTAAACCCTGCAGGGACACCGGCCCTCCAGGACCAGGATTGGTGACCTCTGCACTAAGCCAAGGGAAAATGAATGAAAGAGTACAAGCAGTAAATTGTTGGCTGCAGTTTACTTGTTGGCCACTGGTGTTGCTAAACCTAACTTTTATGAATTCTACACTTAACCCCATAATCAAAACTGTACTAAAAACTAAACTGTACTTTGTGCTTCTTACACAGGTATAGATGGTATGGAGTGCTCTTTGCCCACGGATGGACGCCGCGTGCCTCTAAGCCAACTCTCCCAGGACAGTTTTCGGGAGTGCCAGATCACCCTCACTCTCACCGATTTCCTCATCATCATCTTCTCGGGCATCTCCGTCTCTGTGGCCGCCATCATGGCCAGCTTCTTCCTGGCATCCACCGTCCACTGTTTCCAGCGCTGGAGCAAGGGCACTAAAGGAGATGAGGAGGAAAGTGAAGAATGAGGCATGAGAATGACCTTCAGTGTGATTCAGAGCTGCCAGATCTTGACACGAGTTCAACAAACAGCACGAGTGAACGGACACCAGGTAGAACTTGAGCAGAAATAGCCTGAGTGCTAATAAATATGGACGCGGTTCCCTCACAATCAAAGGATAGCAAGCCTTAGTATGCACAACTTCCAGGGATTTACGTGTTAAAGGAAATTCCTCGAGATCTTGTCCTGCAGTATAGAGTTCTCAGTGTTGTTGTCTGTAGAGTTTCTTCCTTTGTGTAGTCAATATAAAGTTAGCGAATTAAACCGTGCTACTTGTTGATTGTGCCAAATTATCACAGGTAGGCAGCGATGGTTCAGACGAGCGCTGATGATGAAGAACAGCTATATGAAGTCATGCAAGGTGAGTCAGAAGTCAAACGATTCAGCTTTATCCAGCCAAGTGTACGAGACGGAAGCCATTTTCCTTCCATTTTAACAGGAATATGAGCTAAGAGAGATTTCAGAAAGCCTCGCCTGAGATTAAAAGTTTAGAATAGAGCTTCTTGTGAACAGTCGTGTCAAATGCCGCACTTTAAAATGGTCCTACCTAAGTTAGACTGGCCCTCAAACCACTAGGTTACACTGGTTCTGTCCAGATCTGCCAAAGAACGCTTCGACTGAGGGTTTTCAAATATAGATTTATTTTTCTTTAAAGAAAGTCTGTGATCTTAGCAAAGATTGCATTTATTTCGTGTAATTATGGTAATACTCACATATTTACCCTTAATGTGACAAAAGACAATATCTATGAGATGGAAATAACTACATACTACAGATGTCATTGTATTATTCATGTCTTAAAGGTGTATTTGAATAAGATATACAGTAGGCCCAAAATATATTTTGACATTGGAAGTCAAGTGTGCGCATTGCCATTGTCAATACGTAACAAAAAATCAACACATTAAAGGTGCTGTATGTAAGTTTTTGACTCTTGACGCATAAAACGCCACAATATGTTTGAAGATATTTAAAAAAACATGCCAAGTTAACATACTTGTTTATCTGAAAAGCAATGCTGAAGTCAGTTGTCTGTTACGTTCCGAAACGGAGCCTTTTTTTGTTTGGGAGGGGGGGGGGGGGGGTTAAACCTGCCCACTGCCACTTTAGCCAATCGTATTTCAGCACCCGGGGTTCTCTCGATGAAAAACAAAATATGACATGTAGACGCATGAGATGCAGATTCAGAGTTCCACATTAGGTTATTAATTAGCAAATAATATAAATATTACGATCGTAAACATGTTACATTGTAACCCCGTATACACTCACAAAATGGTAAGGTTTATAATTTAAAGAATACATATCAAACCACTTTAATATTATTAAATGTGTGTGTTAGTTTTGAGTCACAGATCTGATATTTTCAAGATCTGAGTTGAACTATCTGCTGCTGCTTTCAGTAGTATAGCAATAAATGTCATGTACAATGGCATTCAAACACACATTGTTAGCATTTGACCCTGAATAAAGCACATGAGGTGTACCTGAGGTGATCATTGTCAGTTTTCTGTTGTTCACAAGCTGTTTCTAATATATCAATTTGAGCTGTTATTTAGAACTAAAACTCATTCTAATATGGAGAATATTCCTTCTATCGCATGTCATTGCTATTATATAGAACACGATTTAAGACTTATCCTTATTTAGACTGTCCTGTTGGTCCTCAATCTGGCAACCTGCGCTTGTGTTTGTTTTGATCCGGAAATGCAATACCAAGCTCAACCACTGGGATTCAAACTTACATACTGCACCTTTAAATGAAAATGAAATCAAATTAGCTACATAATTGTAACAACAACAAGTTGTTCTCATTGCTGAATTTGTAAGTATGACTTTAATGTCCAAATATATTATTGAGGTCGCTGTATATTTATGTGTCTTCAGATTGCTGTCTAGTGTCGACTAAAAATAATACAGTGTATAACTAAATGGTATACATTTCTGTTCATAATGTCAATCCCATCAATTCTGTTTATTCCATGAACATAATTCTGTCAGTTGACAAAATAGTGTGGGAAACAATATTCGAATGTCACAAAAAGACATTTGATTGTTTATGGTTTCCTTTACCAAAGCTTGTCAGTATTGCTTCTTTCATATCCTTATTTGAAAGGGCTTCATTCTTAATTATAATTAATTTGTTAAAATATTTGGCACAATTTTAGCAATTATATGCCATTATTTTTAAACATCCTCCTTTCCAGATCCTCTAGATGTGCTATTTTGAGAATATAAAGCTTCCTTTTTTCTTAGACAGGTATCACAACTTCATTTTTGCAGTGCATGAATAATTAAATGGATGTGTGAAATGAAGCAGACAGTGCGCTAGCCTTCAGACATGTTGGGGATGGAGAAAGAAAAAGCATCAGGATTGGAAAGCTGTCTTATTTTATAATCATTTTATTCTACTCACGTATCCTCAGCCATCGTATTTTGTTGGATGTAAGAAGCACGAGCGCATATTAATGTAATGTAAATGTTGTAGTGTCAGGACACGGTTGACCCATATGCACAATCTAATCTTTCAAAGCTAGACTGTAGCATGGTATCATCAGCAGAACTCAAATATTTGCAGCTATAATATTTGTCATATTGAATGACTTCATATGTTTTTTTCCCTCTTCAAATAGCTGTTCATGCAACCAAAAAATCCAATACATTTATCAATATGCGTGTATTTGCAAGTGAAAATGAGGTATTATCTTTAACTATTCTAATTATAATCGAATGTTATAGACATTTACTATGCCATGATTATAGTGTTGTTAACCCAGCCGGCATTTCAACGGTGATTCAACGTTGAATCAACGTCAGATCTATGGTTGGATCAACGTTGAATTACCTTTCGATTTTGCAAATTGGATCAACGTTTATATAGTGACGTTGTTTCACCGTCGGACCACCACCGGTGATTCACCGTTGAAATCACAACGTTGTTTCACTCTTACCTTCTTCATGGGTGAATTGTGGTCGTTTTGTAGACGTTGAATGAAGGTTGAATTACCTTTCGATTTTGCAAATTGGATCAACGTTGATACCGTGACGTTGTTTCACCGTCATACATTTCAACGCAAGTTAAATAGAAATTACATACAATGCAAAGTCCATAAATATAGCAAACAAATTTTTACTAATAAAAAATACACGACACAAATATACAACTTAGCCTGTGTATCAATTTATTTAATACACACCTCATTATTTCATTTATTCTAAATATACAGCAACATTTACAGCATACATTAAAACCATGCAGGTTACTATACATGCTGTACACTCAAATACAGAAAAAGGCATACAATTAAAAAGTCACTTTTTAATTAGGTTTCATGAATTAAAGTTAGTTAATGTTTACTAACATGAACAAAGAACAAATACTTGTACAGCATTTATTAATCATTTAATTAATTGAAATATGTCCCGATGCTATTAAAATCAAAATGTATGCTTGTTAACATCAATGCACTGAGCTGACATGTACTGTACTTTCTTTATATGAAAGATACTTCATTGTTCTTTGTTCATGTTAGTAAATACATTAACACTTACTAATACAACCTTTTTGTAAAGTGTTACCGTCTTCAGAAAGACAGATACTAACTAAATTAAACTAAGTAACTAACCCAGCCGGCACACGACCGACCTTCAACGTTGAAATATGGTTGAAATAAGGTCAGATGTGTTTTGAACGTTGAAATAATGTTGATAGAACGTTTAATGTTGAACGGTTGAAAAACAGCCTGCATATGACAAGGCTTCAACGTTGAAATGTGGTTGAAAATACGTCAGTTGTTGCTTTAATGTTGAAACAATGTTGAATGATAAATGGTTGAAAAAAGTTACAGAAATCCTTGTACAAATCAACGTTGACATTTTTTATCATGGTCTGTATGTTGAATTAACGTCATGGCTTCACCCAATATTCAACATGTTTGGTTACCATGGTATCGGAGGACTCGGCGCACGCGGCCACGCGCAGCGCTTCACTTCACTTAATTACTAACACCTGACCTGCAGTGCAGCAGAATTCAGAGGTAAGCGTGTTTTTAGATGCTTTAATGTTTTATTTACCCCCCGATTTTGTTTTACACACAGTGTATCTTAAATGTGACTTAGTGTATTGTTTCGAATTTTGAAGCATTTAAAACTTTCCAGTTTGGTTTAGTTTGCGCTCCGGTGACGCGCAGCTAACCTCGAGGTAATGTCACATGTTTAACGTTAGTCTAAATGAGCGTTTTTATGGCAAATTCAAAGCGATAAACTCCAAACGCAGTTTAAAGTTACTGAGCAACGTTATAAAACAATATCATTTTTATACGCTGTATCATTAGTGTTATTATTACAAAGTGAACTGCTTTCGTTTCACTGTTGTTGTTGTTTTTGCTTTTAGACATGTAACTTAACGTACTCCAGAGACGCACTCACTTGCACAGCATTGAATGGAAAAGGCTTTGTCCATGTAAGTTTACTTTACCTTTAACTAAGCTATCTGTTAAATCTTCTTGGTGCTTTGGTTGGTGATGTTCTCTTTCTAATCTGTTTGTTTATTGATTGTTAGGCCATGTTGTGATATTATATTGTTATATTGATATTATTATTGTGAAATCATGTTGTGATGTTATACTATGTGACAGTATTGGGGAACAAATATGTATTTAGTGAGAAATTAATGTTTAAATTACACTTTGTATAGTAGCAGATAAGAGGTGTAATGGGTTTTAACTTTCTGGGTTTTCTGGAAGGTCCAGTTGAGGGCATCAAGAACACGCAGATAGCATAAACCTGTGTCAGCCTGGACAGACTGTAGATCTGCTACTCAACGCCAAGGCTTTTGTATGCATGTCTGACTACTACAGTGTTCTTTAAAGGTATTACTGGAGCAAAACAACAGCACCTGTTACAGTGAAATTTGTATTCATAAAAATAGTGATACATGTGTAGCAGGTCCAGTACATGTGATGTCATTGAGAAGTTGTTTTTATTAAATGTCATTAAAACAAATAAATAAACATGCTATTTAAATAAATCTAAATATTAAAAACTTGAGGATTAAGATGAGAAATTAAATGCATCATCTGTCTTGTGAAAAGGGTCTACTTAAGAATTCTGGTGTTTCCCAACTGAAAGGGATAGTTCACTCAAGAATGAAAATTTATTTTATTTTTTACATTTTACTCCCCAAATGGTTTAAAACCATTATGATTTTATTTTGTTGAACACAAAAGAGGCTATTCTGAAAAAAAACTAAAAACCTGTAAACATTGACCTCCATTG